TCTCCCAGGGGGCCCTTCCTCAGCGGCTGCCAGGGGCGAGGCGTGTCATTCCAGCGCGCGGCGCGGAAAGTGTAGTGGCATGCCCAACGCGCGGGGGTTCGGAGCGATGCGTGGCGGCGACGGGCCCCGTTTCCGTGGGGAATTGCGGATTTCCGCCGCCGAACGAGGCGGCACCTGCCACATTTTGGGGAGGGCACCTCTCCCGATCCATGGATTGGGCGACTATGCGCCAAATCCACGCATCGCCAATCTGTGTTTGCGCACCCCTGAACGGGGCTGCCAAGATCGCGGCGTGGGCCTACCCTGAGAGCATTCCGTGTTTCTTCTGCGCCCAGGACTGCCGCTGGAAGGATTGGCCAGGGTTCCGCCAGCGTATCCCCCCTCATCCAGAGGAGGGCAATGGGCGCCAGGACTGAAGTCCTCGACAGCTGGCCCCCCCCCCAATGCGAGAGCAGAGGATCTGAATTGGATCCGTCGAGATAACCGCGGCCCAGAACGCATTGAGCCCCAAATCTGTTTGGCTGGGTTTCGCGCGGGGGAGGGGCCGCTACGTCTGATCAGGCGCAGAGCGCAGTCGCTGTCCAGGTGCTGGGGTAGAGTATTTGACGCGGAGTCTTCATCTCAGGTGAAACAGGACTTGATTGGCACTATCCTCTTGCAGGTGGCGACGCTTCAGGAGCAAGGCGGCCAGTTTGCGCCTTCTGCTTATCAGCGCGTTGATTGGGTGGCCATCTACGACCAGATCCTCGCTCTCCTGCGCCGGAAAAAAATCGAGACACTGCTCCTGGTCCTGACGGGGCCCCCTTCGTTGGGCGTTTTTGTCTGCGGGTGCCCCGCGCGTTCCAGTGCGATGCGTTCCATTGCCTGGTGGATGAGCATCGTGCCAGCGACGAACTCTACATCTGCAGGCCGCCTTCGAGCCGCAGTGCGACCGGGCTGCTGGAGGGGCGGAGATCGGGGGTCCGGGCCGAACCCGAACGCTGACCCCATCGAGTTTGGGCAAACACGATCCTCTCGCCCCTTCCAGCCGCGCGCGGAGGGGGGTGGGGGGAGGGGGGAGGCTTCTTAGAAGCACCCCTGCTTCTTGGAAGGCGCGGGCCTTCTCTATAGATGTGAGGCCAGCGCCTTCTGAGAAGCAGCCTCCTTCTAAGAAGCCCTCCCCCCTCCCCCCACCCCCTCGTGCGCGCCGCCAGCCCTCCTCGCCTTCTGCTGCGTTACGTCGCCTCCAACTCTGTCGATCCGTGCCGGCGGGGAGTCGTGGGCGGTCGCTCGGTGTTCGGCGCCATCGCCGGCGCGGACCCGTCTCTGCAGTCTGCATGCTTGGTTTCATATCCGTGGCGCTCGCGAGGCGGGCGGCCGCCTGTCCGACTGGAAGCACGCCTCTCCGAACGCGCCTCCGCGGGGGATCTCTGCAGCACTCTGGAAGGAGAGTGGCCCCCAGCAGCATCGTCGGGGCCACTGAGGCATGCCGCGGTGGAGTCTGGGCCCGCACCCGGTGTCGTCAGCTCGTTTTCCGCTGGCTTTTCCTGGTCAAGGGGGGGGGGCGGAACGGGGGGAGGGGCGCCCGGTCTCGGGCGCGTTCTGCTCGCGCTCGTCCTCCGCTCCGTCCCCGGAGGCCCTCCTGGCTTGGAAGAGTTCGCGCGACGTGATGGTGTGTGTGTGCGCTCGCCGACGATCTAGGTCTGTGGGCGCGCGTGCGCTCGCCGACGATCTAGGTCTGTGGGCGCGCGACCTCTTTGTGGTGCCCCCCATCGCTGTGCGCCTGCTGCAGATTGCTGAGCCTGCGACGGCACCTGCTCTCCACTTTGCGCAGTGCTGCCTCGTTGAGCCCAGGGTGTTTGGCGAAGCGGAGCTTCGGCGGCGCTTTCTCGGCCAGGGGCCATATGCCTCGGCCTAAAAGGTTTCTCAGTGCGGCAAGCACCTTGGGGACTACATGGGCGTGGGGGGCAGGCTAAAATCTACGGCGTTCCCCCCCCCCCCCCCCCCCCCCCCCCCCCCAGCGAAGCCTGAGCAAACCTACCCGCGTGGTCACAAGCATGGGGTTCCGTTGCGTTCACTCTGTGGTTGCCTGGAAACGGCATGCCCTCTCCGTCGCTGGCCAGGTGGCCCAGATTTTGGAGCCGCACAGGGGGACCAGGGCCACTGTCAAAGAGCGCCACCAGCTCTTCACCCGTGCTCCCCGACACTCGGGCCCTCTGATTGCTCTGGCCGACCTCCACCTCTTGCGTTTGCAAGACCAGTTGCGGTGTCCCGAGATGGCGGCCACACCAGCTCAAGTGCGTGCTGCGCTATTATCGCGAGCTCTCGACAGATGCGAAGAGTCCTATCACAACGCGCGGGGCTCGGCCGACGTATCCTTGGCTGCCCTATCTCATCTTCATCATCGCGACTCTGCTGTAGGGCAACTGACACGCGCGCGTGATCATATGTTCGCCTTCCCTGGGGATCCCTCTGATGTGTCCCCAACGTCTTTCCATAGTCGATCCTACCAGTTCCTACTTCGCCTTCAACTTCCCCCAGCTGGTTGTGTCCTTGTTCGTACTGGACTTACGCATTGGAAGCTTGATCTCGCCCGTGAAGAAGCTGATCGATGTCTCCTTCGGTTAGGTGTCATGGGTCCCCGTCTCCCTCGGTTTCCCCACTTCGCTGTTTAAAGGTTTGTTCATTTGTTGGCCACCACCCGCAGGTTTAGACAGGGCCAAGGCGGGTGTGTTTGGGGACGCGTTGCCGTCGGAGGTGGCTCCATTCTCCACGAAAGCTGCTGTTCAATGATCGTCCAGTTTCCCTGTCCCCTCCTCACTGACCTCCCGCCTGACTGGGGCCAGGGCCCCGTTGCTGCCATGCTGCCCTGCCGTCGGCGGCCAAGCTCTCATTCTACATGCGCCCGTGCTCTCGCCATGGGTCTTGGATCAGCTGCCTGGCAGCATTGTAGATCAGGAGGTTACTTTTTGATTCGCGGGTCGAGAGCGAGCCTCTTCCAGTCGAAGCTAAGCGGGCCGCGCACAGCTTTAATTAACAGAGGAATGGAAAAAGAAGGCGGGGCCTCACGTCAAGGCCGAGAGAGGGCAAAAGCCTCGCTCCCAGATCAGGAGGTCACAGGTGTCCCCAGGCGATTCCGTGGAACCCTCTGAGCGCGCCCTCGTGTGCCGGCAGGCGCGCGCGCGCCCCCGCTGCGGCTGGAGGGGCTGGGCTCCTCCCTCCTTCCCCTCCACAGTAAGTTGGCGCTCCTCCTCCTCTTCCTCCTCCTCCTCCTCCTCCTTCTCCTCCTCCTCCTTCTTCTCCGCCCCCCTCCTCCTCCTACTCCTCCTCCTCCTCCTCCTCCTCCTCCTCGTCATCATCATCATCATCACTCATCATCATCATCATCATCATCATCATCATCATCATCATCATCATCATCATCATCATCATCATCATCATCATCATCATCAGTCGTGCTGTCGCTGTCGTACGGTCTTCAGTTCCGCCCGCCTGGCTCCTCGACGTTGGTATAGCTTCCACATCCACGGCTTTGCCTCCCCCTGCTGCGGTGACGGAGTTTGCCACGGGGCTTTTCAGGGCACATCGTGAGGAGGCCACGCTCTTGGAGCGTCCTCACGTGGGAAGATTGAGCTCCCTCTTTGCGGCCGTTGTGCCGGGCGCTTCCCTCGGGATTCGATGTGGTCAGGCTCAGTCTCGGCCTCCTCATCCTCCCGCCTCCCGCCTCCCGCCTCCCCTCTGTTATCCGCGTGCCAGTCTCGGCCCGCGCTCGTCATCCGCGGCTTCGCCCACAGCTCCAGTGACGGCACCCGCATGCACCAGCACGACCTCAGGGGCATCGATAAGGGGAGGGGATTGGGATAGGGGGGGGGACGCATCGAGCCCCAATCGCATAGTGATCACCGATAGGGGTCTGGTATCCACACCCTGCCCAGGAAGGGTGTGGATTCGTGATCGAGGGCACGTCGGCGATCCATCGGCGAAGTACCGCCGATTCCAGGTCGATGCTTCCCCCCCGTGCCAGTCCCCCCCCCGTGTGGATCAGGAGGAGGGGGAGGAAGAGGGAGGAGGAGGGGGAGGAGGAGGAGGAGGAGGAGGAGGAGGAGGAGGAGGAGGTTGAGGAGGAGGAGGAGGAGGGGAGGAGGAGGAGCAGGAGGAGGAGGAGGAGGAGGAGGAGGAGGAGGCGGAGGCGGAGGCGGAGGCGGAGGCGGAGGCGGAGGAGGAGGAGGAGGAGGAGGAGGAGGAGGAGGAGGATGAGGAGGAGGAGGAATAATAATAATTGAAGAAGAAACATAATAATAACAATAATAATAAGACTAATAATAATAAGAATAAGAAAAAGAGGGAGGAGGAGGAGGAGGAGGAGGAGGAGGAGGAGGAGGAGGAGGAGGAGGAGGGAGGAGGGAGGAGGGAGGAGGGAGGAGGGAGGAGGGAGGAGGGAGGAGGGGAGGAGGGAGGAGGGAGGAGGGAGGAGGAGGAGGGAGGAGGGAGGAGGAGGAGGAGGAGGAGGAGGAGGAGGAGAGGAGGAGGAGGAGGAGGAGGAGGAGGAGGAGGAGGAGGAGGGAGGGATGTACCCTTGATTTGGCAGGATCGACCTGCGAATCAGTCCCCCCCCGCGCCGTTGGCCCTGACCGCCGCCCAACGCAGCACACCCCTCGCGCGGCTCGCGCCTCCCACCGCAGCTCCCCGCCCGCGGCCTCGCTTCCCGCGCGGGCACGGGCCGCGGCGCGCCCCTGTCGGCGCGCCCCCCCCGCGGGGACCGTGGCCCACGAGGGGTCGCTCCTCCTCTTTCTCCTCCTCCTCCTCCTCCTCCTCCTCCTCCTCCTCCTCCTCCTCCTCTCGAAAGCCGCGGCCCTGCCCTGTGCTCCGCGCCTGCCGCCGCCTGCAGCCGTGGGGGCGCAGGCGCACGCGGGGAGCGCACCCCCGCAGCGGAGCACCCCTCGCGCGGAGCGCGGCGGGGAGCGCCTCCTCGGCGCACCCCTCGCGCGGAGCGCGGCCCCGCAGCGGGCGCTCCGCCCTGCAGCCGCGGTGGGCGCCGGCGCGCTCGCGCCGCCCGGCGGCCTCGCCTGCACGCGTTGCGCGGCGCCCCCCCGGCCATGAAGCTGTCCGTAGTGCACATCCCGGACCTGCTCCTGAAGCTGGGGGCCCGCCCCAGGGGGGGGGGAGGTCCGAGGCGGGGATTTGTCCAGAACCACTCTGGGCCTCCCAGATGGGGTCGGAGCAGATGGGGTCGGAGGACCGCGCCGCATCGCCGATGCATCGCCGATGCGGCTCGATGTGCAGCCCGATCTGCTTCACGTCGACGTCGCCGATGCATCGCCGGTGCATCGCCGGTGCATCGCCGGTGCATCGCCGATGCATCGACGATGCGGCGCGATCCTCCGACCCCATCTACTCCGAACCCAGCTAGGAGGCCTCTAACCACCGCCTCGAGGATCGATCCTTGCTGGCCTCCACGGGCAGTGGATATGGATATATTCGGCCCCCCAGGGGCCAAAAGATATCCATATCCACCGCCTGCTGGAGCACCAGGACGTCGGTGCCCAGGCGGTGGATGTGGACAACTCCCCATCTCGCGGGGGGGTCGCAGGAGGTGGGGCTCGCCAGGGCGGGCAGGGTGGGGGGCGGAGGGAGCCCCCGCGGGGAAGTCGCGTGAGGAGGCCCACCAGTGGGGCAAAGGTTGGATGCACAGGCAAGGGCGAGCCACAGCGTGAAGCTCCAGGCCGCCCAGATGGTGTCGGAGGATCGCGCCGCATCGCCGATGAGTCGGCGATGCGGCTCGACGTGGAGCGCTATTTTCTCCACGTCGACGTCGCCGACGCATTGCCGACGTCACCGATTCATCGGTAAGGCGCGATCCTCCGACCCCATCTATTCGAAACACATGTGGGAGGTCCCTAGAGTCTCAGCCACGCTCGCAGCACATCCGTTTTACGCTACCCTTCCTTTTCTACGTGAAAGGCCTCAGACTGCGCCCGAACAGCGCTCTCGTCAACTCCTGCCGTGGGAGGAGCAGTCGGGGAGGAAAAGCGCCCCTCCGCCCCGGCCTCGAACCCTTCCCCCCCCTGGGGGGGGGGGGGGGGGCCGGGCCAGCGAGCTCCGCCTGCTCCCCGTGAGGATGCTCCGCGAAGACGGCACACCACATGTACCCCCCCCCCCCCCCCTCGCCCCCTGCTGGGGGGGGGGGGGGCCAGGTGGAGGTGGGTCGCTCTGCTGCTCCCCTTCCATCTGGGGGCGTTGCTGCACGCAGCCGCCACCCCGGCGTGGGGGTTGGGGGGTGCGGGGCCGGGGGGGCCCAGACCCGTCGTGTCGCGGCAGGAGCCGCTGTACACGGCCAGTGCTCTCGCCGCGGCCGGGGCCCGGGGGCCGGCCACGACACCTGCCCAGGGTGGAAAAGTCCACGGCCTGGTAGGGGATCCGGGCACGAGGGGCGGGTGGCGGAAAATCACGGGCGTGAGGTTCTGGGGGGGAGGCGGGGGTGTGTCGGGGATTGCCAGAAGGTGCCGTGCCTTCAGCTTTTCGCTCCGTTTTGGAGCCCCTGGGGCCCTCTGAGTCCCAGTGAGGGGTGTTCTGGAGGCCGTTGGGGCCTCCGTGGAAAAATCTCGGGGGCACCTTGGGCCAGGGTTAAGTCGGGCATGTCCTTCTACAGGAGCAATATTCAAGAATAGTCAAAAACTAATGGGGACGATTTGCCAACAATTTTTGCATATTTTTGGGCTCGTTTTACAACTTCTCCTCCAACATCAGTCTGTAGGGGGACACGCCTGACCTGGGGCCAGGGGCACTCCCAGCAACGCCCGAGGGGGGGGGGGGGGGGCGAGACCTGCCTGCCCTGGCAGGCGGCAGGCCGGTGGGGTCCGCCGGGGTTGGAGGGGGGGGGCGGGGCCCGCTGCGGGCAGGGGGCGGAGGAACCCGTCGCTAATCCACGCCCCCATGAATCCATGTTTGCGATCGCCTGAGTGGCGCCTCCCCCCGCGAATGCCCGCGGGGCTCCTCCGCCCCCTGGAGTGCGCCAGAACGCGGGTCTGGCCGACTCTTTTTGGCGAGCGCGTCCTGGATTCTGACGGTCCAGTTTTCGTGGCAGGCCTGCAGCGGGGGCTCGCGGCAAGTTGCGTATATTCGGTCTCGTCATTTTCATGATGGCCCCGTCAGGCCAACCCGAGTCCCCCGTACCCGAGTCCTACGCCTCCCCGAATGTTCGCTATCCCGTTGTAATGGGCGGAAGCCGAGGAGGAAGAGATGCCGAGGCCGCCGCGTGTCATGAGGAGTCCTCGTCGCCACGGTGTTGGGTTCTCCTCGAGATGCTCTGGCCTCTGGGCGCGCCCCGGGAGAGAGCCGGGGAGCAGCAGTGTCGGTACTTTTTTGGGGGTTCCCCATGACCCAGATCCCCTCGAGTCATAAAAAAATCAAGACGGGAGGTTTTTCGCCATTTTCGGCCTCGGGGGGCCCGTGCCGGCCCTCGGAGCGTCAAACAATTATTCAGGACGAGGAACCGGTCCCGGGGAATGGGTCCAGACCTCGGGGGTCGATGTCATGGAAAAATCATGACGTCGGGGGTCTGGGGAGTAGGTGCATGATGGGGCCCATCAGCGCCACGCAACAATTTCTGGATGGCTCCCTGGAGAGCGTGGAGGGTTTCAGATTAAGAGGCCGGAGCCGCAGGGTAGCCCCAGAGCTCGTTCCTGCTTCCGTCCAGAAGCCTCGGCGCGAGTTGTCCGATGTCGCAGCGTGTCCCGAGAGGCCTGCTCTAAGCGTTTCCTGATACGTCTTCCCGGAAGCTCTCCAGAAGGTCCTCCGGAAGCTCTCTCCAGGTCCCTCCAGAGTTCTTCGACAGGCCTTCGCACGCCCTCGCGGCGCCCTGCCACCCAGGTTTTGGACTCCGCAAGTGCGGCGGCCGGTTTTTCGCTATCTCTTGCCTCCGGAGGTGGCAAGTCTTTGGGCTGCGCAAAGACAGCCCCTCCCCAGCCGGGTAGTCCCAGCTGGCGCCTCAGTCGGGCCGGGCGAAAGGGGGGGATTGGGAAAGGGGGGGTTACGAAATTTGCTGCATGCAGCTGGTTTCGGCCTCACCGAGGGGCCCATTCCTCGATACATAGCCGCCTCCGGCGCCGGGAGGCGCCGGGAAAATCAGCTACGTGAGCTGATTCTCAAACCCCCCCTTTGCTATCCCCCCTTTCGCCCGACCCGAAAAGACAGCCCCTCCCCGGCCGGGTAGCCCCAGCTGGCCTCCACGGGCCCCCCGGGTCGTCCGGGGCGGTCTCGGCACACCGGCCCTGGGGCGCGGAGCTCCCCAGGGGCGCCGCCGGAGGCAGCGCCAGGGTGTCGAGACCGCTCAGAGCCCCGAATCATCAGGGGTAACTCGGGTCAGGGATAACTCGGGTTCGTTTTTCGGGAATCCGAGCCCGAGTTATCCCGGACCCGAGTTACCCCGGATAACTCGGGCGTCCAGAGCCCCGAATCATCAGGGGTAACTCGGGTCAGGGCTAACTCGGGTTCCTTTTTCGGAAATCCAAACCCGAGTTACCCCGGACCCGAGTTACCCCGGATAACTCGGGCGCCCAAGACCGCCCTGGGCCACCCGGGGGGGCCTGTTGGGGCCAGCTGGGACCACTCGGGGGGGTCCTGCTGATCACCACCCACCAGACCACCCCAACCCAACCCGAAGGTCTCGATTTGCCCTCCATTTCCAGTTGGGGGGGGGGTCGGGGAACAGCGAGAAAACACATGTGGAACCCTCACCCCACCCAACCCGAAATTCGGGTCTTCGGGTTGGGTTGGGGTGGTCTGGTCGGTAGCCAGTTGAGGCCAGCTGGGGCTGCTCGGGGGGGTCCCTCCCGCAGACAGCGGCGAGCGGATCAGCAGCGGGGTCGGGGGGTCGACGGGTCGGCGAGAGAGGCGAGAGTTCCCTGAGATCCGACGTTGCAGCAAAAACTGCAGCATCGCAAAAATCTTCCCTGGAGCCCTGGAGCGGCTGGAGCCCTGGAGCCCTGGAGCCTATCTTTCTGGAGCGTGTTTCTTTGTTGCTAGGTGGGCATTCTAGCCCCCGACCCCCCCTCCCCCCCAATAAGGTACCCCCCCCCCCCCAGTGCGCTCCGGGCACTGCCGCCGCTGCCGCCGTGCGCTCGGCGGAGGGGAGGCGTTACAATATACCTTAGTGAGGGGGCCGTCTACAGGAAGGGGGGGCCACCCAAAAACGCTAACAGCCAGGCCGGGGGGCACAACTAAAATGTAATATTCAAAGTTACGTTTTTGTCCGAAGGCATGGTTTGGAAAATCCAGAATTATGGTTTGTTGTTGTTTTTGCCCTGAAGGGCTGTGTGTGCTTGAATTCAGAAATCGCGATTTTATTGTGGGAAGGCTTCGCCTCTTTCGCCCTTCTGGAAGTGTTGTTGCACGATGAACGAACGCCACGTGCGAAACATGTTTGTGGGGCTTTCCGTGTGTAGTTTCATTGGCGGTTGGATGCGTAGTTGGTTTCGTTACTGTTCGTATCCATCACGGTCCACCCAGCAATAGTACCCAGGCGAAATGTCTTGATCAGGGAAGTGCGGGAACATTCCGTGTAACGAAGAGAAATTGATGGGGAAGCCGTCAAACTGAATTTCGTGGGTCAGCCTGGGCACGCCCTGGAGTGAATGCACATTCGCGGCCCTTGCCGAAACAGGCAGGGCGCAGAAGAATGATGAGGAGGCGGGGGAGGGGGAGGCGGGGGGGGGGAACACGAGGAGGACGAGGACTAAAAGGAAGAAGGGGGGAGCGACGGGAGAAGCAGGAAAGGGGCGAGCAGAAGTATGATGACATTGACTGCGCAAGCTTTGGGGGGAGGAGGAGGAAGAGGAGGGGGAGGAGAAGGAGGAGGGGGATGAGGAGGAGGAGGAGGAGGAAAGGAGGAGAAAGAGGAGGAGGATTGGGCGAGGAAGAGGAGGAGGAGGAAAGGAGGAGGAGGAGGAGGAGGAGGAGGAGGAGGAGGAGGAGGACGAGCGTACAACGCGCACGCGCGCGTGCGCGCGAGGTGTGATTTCTGCATTGTTCTCAGCGGTCTGGCAACGAAGGGGCCTGGAAACGAAGGGGTTCTTGGGCGGTGACCGAATGGGTGTTCCAGGTAGCGCGGGGCTGCAGCGCGCCAGCCAAGTGGCTCAGCGCGCAA